TGTTATACTAACAATGAACAAATGTGATTCAAACAAAAATGCAATCAAATGTATCCTTCACTGTATCTCATATGGAGAATTAAAAACCACCCACAGTTCCACAGGACCAGTTGGACCTAAGCACTGCTCAGATTGAAGGCAGGTCAAAAAGAGCTGTGTGTTAAGTATGAAGTGAGTTTCCTCTCAGCCTAGGATTTCCCAGAATTGCTGATATGGTACTGTATGGCATACATTCTCTTTAAAATTATTTTTATGTTTACTTCTAAGTTTTTTTGTGTTTTTTTTTTTTTTTTCCTTCATTTTATTTTTGAGAATTTCATGACAACTGTAGAACTCACTGGAGGTAGCTAATGACTGCTCTGGGGATGTTTTGCCCCAAGACTGTCATTCTTATTCTGAGCAGCAAAATTATAAGTCTTATATTAAGGTGTCCTAGTCACATCAAACTGTCAACTGTAGTGATGCTAATGCTAAAGTTGGAGCTTCTCTCCATCAGGAGGAGATGGTAGAGGGGCCACTACCCCTAGCCTCCTTCACTGATCTGAGTGCTTTGCAGGGCTGAGTGAGGAACCAGTCTCAGAATCCTTCTCAAACCAGAAGTCCAATCAGCCTCAATCACTCAGAATTGGGAAACAGCCTCATGAAACCTACATGCCATCCCTGATCTGTGCTATTCACCATGAATAAGGGAAGAAAAGGCCCGATTTAAATGTTAATGCTCTATTTCAATATGTTTATGCATTTCAAGATATGCCTCATTAAGATAAAATCAAAGAGAAAAATAAACAAAAAGGCCAGAAAAGGAAGGAAGCCACAAGATGAAAGCAAATGAAACGGTCCGGACAACTTAAAAAAAAATTCACATGCCAAGTCAAGGAATAGCTTACTTGTGAGAAAACAACTTACCCATTTCTGCAAGATCTTCATTGAGTGACTGGAGCCAGAAGATGTCCATGTCGTCTAGGTCATAGCGGCATACAGATGCCGCCTGCTCCTTGATGTTGACATAGCCAGGCTCTGAGGTCCCTGGGTCGGAGCACTGGATGTACTTCCGGGGGCGGGTAAACAGAACATCCTTTACCTTATCAGCTACAATCCTAGAAAAGCAAAAGAAAGACACTAATAACAATCAACAAATGACAGATTGCAGGCCCTGACTGGATGGGCCCAACAGCACTCAGGCCATACAGTGGAGTTGAATGCTCTCCCTTTCTACCCTGTAGAAATCTCCTGCTCTGCCAACTGGGAGATATGATAGATTGCGTTCTAGAAAGCAAATGGTTCTACAGAATCAGTTTTGTCATCTCTGAACACTGACTGCTAGTGAAATGCTTCATTTACCCTCACGGCTCCCAGTTCCCTAAAACCATTTGTTCTAATAAAATGTTGCATTCTGTGTTCTTGGTGCAATGGCCACCAAGTTTATTTAGAGGGGGAAACCAAGGAAGGGGTGATATCTGCACAAAGGCACAGCCAGGTTCCATACCAAAGATATAGTTCAGCTCATGCTTTTCTGCCATGGAGGCAATACTGGATGGTGGTAAAGACTGCAGCCTACAGATTCACACAAGCCTGTTTTTTTCTGCCACTCGCTTATATGGTAATCTTGGGCAATTACTTAATTTCTATATGATTCAGTTTTCTTAGCTAAAAAATAAGGGTGATAATAAATTATAATAAAAAAGTATCAAACTTATATGAAATAATATAAAGTGCTTAGTATACAGTAAAAAATAAATGTTCAATGTCAGTGTCCACCACCCCAAGTCAAGTCTCCTTCCATCATCATTTATCCCCCCATACCCTCTTCTACCATGCCCCACCCCCCTTCACTTCTGGTAATCACCGTTCTGTTGTCTGTGTCTACGAATTTTTAAAATTTACTTAATTCTTTCACCTTTTTCACCCAGTCTTTTAACCCCCCTCCCCTCTGACAGCTGTCAGCCTGTTCTTTATCTATGTCTATTTTATTTGTTAGTTTATTTTGTTAATTAGATTCCACATATGAGTGAAATCACATGGTACTTGTCTTTTTCTGACTGGCTTATTTCCATTAGCATAATGCTCTCCAGATGCTGTATTATAGAATTGTACACCTGAAACCTATATAATTTTATTAACCAATGTCACCCCAATAAATTCAATAGAAATGCCATTGTTATTGCTGTTATATTTAGTATCTTCACTATTTATGTAGATGAGTTAAAGCCAAGAGGCACGGATTTACACAAACTTAACGCATTTCCCAACCATAAGTGATAGTGATCATAAGTCTGAGCCAGGGCTACATGATGGGAGTAAAGAGTCCCATTCTTCCATCAACTTCTCCAGTAGGCTGGAGCAAATCCATATTTCCCCTCACCCTTTCTGACACTTAAAAGCACAAGGCAAGGAAATCAAGCCAGGGAAGAAATTGAAGTTTCTCATACCAATGACCTATTCTACAACTGATGTTTTAGGTACTGTGTGAAGCATCAGAAAATATAACCAAGAGGAAATCTGGATTATTATTCCCTGGCAATTTTAAAGAACAGGGTAGGCCATCTAAAAAAAGAGAGAAAGAAATAGATATATATGGCATCATAAAATAATGAAAATTGTTTCTCTGGAAGGCTTCTGGAGCCAGTTTCTTTACTCTAGAGTTACTATATATGTAGAAGGATTCATAAAAACAAATGTATTCATATGAATACATATAAATATATAGGCCAAGTCCACTCTGTAAATACAGAGTAAATATCTCCTCCTAAGCATTCTTCCAAAAGCTTATGATTCCAAATAATATGTGATGAATAAAGTTACTAACTATACACATTTGCACATGTTCATTTTTCTACCATGTGGAGGTATTAAAGCCAAAGGGAACAAATATTTGAGGAAAAGAGCAGAACCCTAAAATATTAATTGAAGCTAAAAACTTGGGAACTGCTGTCAAAGGCCTGCTTCCAACTGAAATCAACCCAACTGAAAAGGGCAAGATAAGCATATGAATTCTCCAGAGACTATGAGATTAAATATGCTGTGCTTTTTTGGTGCATGGCATACAAGGAAATTATAGAATATCTAATTTTTTTAAGATTCATCTTTTTCTAAGAGGAAGAATATTTGATAACTACTCACATTTTATGTGGAACAAAGTAGACTAGAAGTGTTTTGTTTTTTTAAAATATACCGTTACTGATTTCAGAGAGAGGAAAGGAGAGAGAGAGAAAGAGAAAGGGAAAGAGAGAGAGAGAGAGAGAGAGAGACAGAAACATCAATGATGAGTCATTGGGGATCGAGCCCGCAACCCAGGCATGTGCCCTGACCAGGAATCAAACCCCAATCACCTGGATCCTAGGTCGACGCTCAACTGCTGAGCCACGCCTGGCCGGGCACTATAAGTGTTTTAAAATTTAATATTTATTAAGCTTCTGGAAGAAAATAAAGGAGAATATCTTTATAACCTTGGGACAGGGCAAAGATACTTTAAATAAGACAAAAGCCATTAACCATAAAGGAAGAGACTGAAAAACTTCTGTTTATCAACTATACAGAGTGGGGCAAAAGTTGTTTGTATGAAAATACAATAATAAATAAATAATAATAATAATACAAGAATAAACTCTGTTTTGCATACTCACAACTATTGCCCCACCCTGTATGTAACAAACTCCTACAAAACAACTAGAAAAAGACAGCTGCATTAAAAACTGGGCAAAAAACTTGAATAGACACTTGACAAATAAAGCTATCCAGATGGCAAGAAAACTTTTAAAAGGTTCTCAACCTCATTAGTTATCACAAAAATACAAATTGAAATCAATCACTATTACCTACCAGAATGGTTACACTTGAAGACTGACCAAAAATTGACAATACTAAGTGTTCACAAGGAATCTGAGCAAACAGACCTCTCATGCACTGCTGGTGGGAGTGTGAATTGGGACAATCACTTTGGTAAACTATTTGGCAGCTGATATTATAGCTGAACATATACATACCCTATGACCTTGCAAACTCATTCCTAAGAATATACTTAACAAACAAAAAAGTACACATATGTCTACCAAAAGATGAAGAAAAATGTCCATATTGGCATTTTTCATAAGTGAAAACTGGAAGCAACCCAATATCTATCAGGAGCAGAATGGATAAATAAAATGTGGTATATTCACACAATGGAATATGACACAGAAGTGAAACTTAATGATCTATTACATGCAATAGCATGGATTAATCTCACACTCACTGTGATGAACAATATGAAGTTCAAAAGTGGCAAAACGATCACCTATGGTGATGGAGGTCAGTTAGTGAGCAGGAACAGAAGGAGGGCTTTTAGGGTGTTGGTAATGTTCTATTTTTTAAAAAAATATATCTTTATTGATTTCAGAGAGAGGAAGGGAGAGGGGGAGAGAGAAACATCAATGATGATAGAATCAATGATTGGCTGCCTCCTGCATGCCCCCTAACAGGAATCGAGCCCGCAACCCTGGGGGCATGTGCCCTGACTAGGAATCGAACCATGATCTCCTGGATCATAGGTCAATGCTCAACCGCTGAGCCATGTCGGCTGGGCGGTGATGTTCTATTTCTTGATCTGGGTGGCAGTTAAATGAGTGTATTTAATTAATGAAAATTCATTGAGTTATACAGTTATACTTTGGTTACTTTTCTGTGTATATATTATACTTTAGTGTAAAATTTATAATAATGATAACAAATGATGTTATCTCATTTGTCTTTTCATATGTAACTAAAAAGGTCTGAATCTAAGGATTGAGTATATGACAATAAAAAGATTATAGACCAAACCAGTAAAACCAAAGGCAAGGAAACCCATGAGTAAAATGTAAAGTTAATACACGCTCACAAGGAGAAATTCTTGTATTTATAATGATAGAGAAGGTCTGTGAGAATTAGTGAAAAAAATATTACTTTGGAATTTTAAAAATGGAACTTTAATATCAAGTACATGTAACATTGCTGTAGCTGGAAGAAATCTCAGGATTATAACCTGGGTGATTTTCTTCTCTGGCCACTATACACTAGGTACTAGAGACATTGTTTTTTAAGAAAATTTATCTTTATTGTTGAAAGTATTACAGGTGTCCTCTTTTCTCTCTCCCATTGATCCCCTCCACCTGCATCCACTCCACCCCCACTCCTTCCCCATACCAATGTAGAGATACTCTTTGAATGGTCACCAAACCACTGACCAAATCAGCAAATGCTCTTAAGACTAGAAGTCTGAGTAATTTTGTTAGAATGATGTAGTAAGTGCAGTTTTCAATTTGGATGCTTGAGTGTAAAGGAATATTTTAGTAACCCTCTTGATGACTGACCTTTGGTGAAAAGATCCACAACCACACCTGCTTAGCCCCATAAGATGAAGGCCTATCCACCTGCTGTTCCTCAGGGATAGCTGGCCTACCTTTGGCTGCTACCTTTGGCCCATGTGAACACTGCTATGCCACTGAGGAGGCAAAAGGAAGCTGCAATCACTCTAACCTGACCTATGGTCTCTTCTGGTGTCTTATGCACAGTGAGTCCTCATTGTGGTTTCAGTTGATCTAAGTATTTTGTATTTAGAGACTATGCTTCATTTCCTAATGAGCGAATTAGAGTCATTTGTGAATAGCACAGATATTGCACAAATACCATGTTTTTTTTGAAGCCTGGAAATAAAAGTTTTAAAAGCTAACCAAATCCTTGCAGTAATATCTCCAGTAGTAGTTTCCCAAGATGCCCCTTGTTAATCTTGCCACTCTGGGCTGACTGCTTCTTATCAGACTTCATGCCTCATCTATGAAACAGGACAATTACAACCTCTGTGACAGATCATATTTTCAAAATCCCACATGCTCTCCTACAATGTGATTTTGCCACTCCCGCATCAAGTGGTTAACACTACTTCCTCCCACTTTTGAATCTGGGAGGGCTTGTGACTGTTTTCACCAACAGAATATGGCAGAAGTGATGCTATGAGAATTGCAAGGCTGGGTGTTAAAGTGAATACAGACAGCTTTCACCTTGTTTGCTGAAACACATGTATGTGGAGCCCTGTGCCTTAGGCCTGTAAAAAGTCTGCCTATGCTGAGGTTGTCATGCTGTG